ACTGTAAAAGAATCAGCCCACTGATAGGAGAAGAGATTGAAAAACCGACCGAGAAAAACTTGGTGGTCCAAATCCATTTCGTACATCCACTCAATGAACGGGGTATTCCGCGGAGCCGTTCGTGTATAATTGCGCCCGTCATCTTGTTCGGTTTCCAAAATCCCCTTCGCCGAGGCCTCTGCCAAATCTTTGTGAGTGACTCACGAAGATCCTCGATCCATCTCTGGTACTTTTGAGGATCACCGACCGGGATCTGCGATGCAACTTTTTTACCCAGGACTGTCGGAAGGTTAGCTTACTCTCTGGATAGCTGTCAAGGCTATTGTAGTGGACGTGGTACCACCCTTTGTGAGTATAGAACCTGCGGGCTTGAAATCAGCAGGTAGTTTGCAGATGCATGGCATGGATGATGGGGCTCAGAGACCAGAATCCGGATGTGCCCATATTTAAGAATTTGTGGTCGCAATGCGCTTCTTCGGTGCGATGGTCAGTGTGGTCCAGAGGATTGAAGGAGAAGACTGAAGTTAGGGTTACAAGTCTGACTGCGACGTGCGCACAAAATCGCCGTAAATTAAACATACGTTTCGCACACTTTTCTTTCCGCTCGCGCTCTTCGGATGCCCGAAAGAAAACTATGTACAACTACAACTACGACTACGCGACCATATATATTACACACCCCCATCATAAGTTAGTACATAAGAGCAGGTAGAACTCGATCCCAAGCCTAAATACACAGCGAACAGCCATACATTACATTCATGCTACAAAGGAAGCCAAAAACACAGAGCGAGCGAGAGCAAAAGCCGGAACCAACAGCAAACCCAAACCAAGAAGAAAAAAAAATGACATACACTTGGGGGCTACCCCCCATCGCCCTCCCCGCGCCTTACCCCCCGCCCGTGCATCTCATCCCCGCCCCCGTCACCATCATCCTCCTCCCCCGCGGTATCCTCGCCCTCATCATCGTCTGCGTCGGCGTCGTCCTCTTCCTCCTCCTCCTGCATGTTGCCCTGAGGAACAGGAACATGAGGGGCACCATAGCCCTGCTGCGTCTGCGCATACCACACAGTCCCCGCCGCGCGCACCGTCGCCGGGTGCACGGTGACGCTGGCAGGAAGGTTGCCAGGGCCGGAGGGAGGGCCGGGCGCGGGCGTGGGCGCGTAGAACCACGGATAGGTAGGAGGGTAGGGATAGTACCCCTGCTGTGGATGTGGATGCGCCGGCGTCGGGGTCGTATATGGATGTGGATGTGGATTCGCATGTGGTGCATTCGGACTCGTCATATGCTGCGCATTCGGATGTAGTGGATTCGCGCCCCCCGCCTGTTGCTGCGTCTGCGTCTGTGTATACTGCGCCGCATACGCCGCCGCCGCCGCCGCCAGCGAGCTTGACGACTGTGCGTAGGGCGGGGGCTGCTGCGTTTGGTGCGGCTGCGGCTGCTGCTGGGCCTGGGTGTGGGGGCTCTGCGCCTGCACCTGGGGTTGTTGCGGCTGCTGCGGCTGCTGGCTCTGCGTCGGCGTCTGCGTGAGCTGCTGGCTCTGCGCCTGCCCCATCTGCTGGCTCTGCCCCAGACTCCCCATCTGCGGGCTCCGCTTGCTCTGCCCCTGCCCCGGGCCCGGCGTCGGCGGCGGATTCATCTGCCCCTCCCTCCCCGCACCCCCCTGCACCGACGTCTGCCCCTGCCCCTGCACCAGCGGATTCATCGCAAACGCAGGCGGCGCGATGTACACCCCCGCCGGCACGATCTCCCTCGCCTCCCGCGCATGTGCCTGCCTCCCGTGCTTCGCGGGCAACGGCGAGTGCTTGGGCTTGTCCAAATCCAAAGTGGAACTTGAGGCCCCCGCTTGCGCCAAAGTCGACGTCGAGGGACTGGCTGAAGTCCCTGCCAAAGTAGGCGAACCTGACGTCCCCGCTGAAGTAGACGTGGAGCTACTAGCAGAAGAAGACGAGCCCTCGGCCCCCGCACGCGCGCGCTTCGCGGGCGGCGCGCCCGCCTCGCAGCGCCGGGTGCGTTTTGTGCTCGTCGGGGTGGGGGCGGGGAGGGGGGTGTTATTCGGCGGTAGTGGGTGAGCGTGCGCGCCGTTAATATTCAATGTGCCGTTGGTATTCAATGTGCCGTTAGTCGCGGTGCTGCCGGGCGCCGGCCTTAGAGCGAGCCCTGAGGGGAAGAGGTGGTCAGCGCCGAGGTACTGCACGAGGTAGGCGGGAAAACGCAAGCAAAGGGAGGCAGGGAACGTCAAGAAAGAAAGCAAGGAAAGGGCAGCGAAGAGGACGGGGGGAACGGAAAAGGTACAGCGAAATGCACAGTGATGTGAAATGAAGGAGAGCAGGCGAAGAGGGGACGGAAAGCGATCACAAGAACGAGAAAGGGGGACACAGATACAGAAGAGGAAAGAAGGAATACATGGGCATGTAGCGGAAGGGCGGAAGGGTGAGCGGCTGGGACGATGGGCGATGGAGATACAGGAGCGGATGGGGAGGGAGGGCGGCAGAGGGGGCGTTGTAAGGATCACGAGCGGGGGGAGAGCGACCCTAAAATGAGAATGCGGGGATACGGAGAGGCAGACAAAAGAGAAGGCAAGGAGCCAGGGGTGGGAGCATGGGGGTGCGGTTAAGAAACAGGGCGTATGAAGGATGGCGTCGGGAGAAGAACTGGACGGCTGCAATGGGATAGCAAAGCGGGAATAATGGCGGAAGCGAAGAGATCCCCATGGGACGTCGACGGAAGGAGTACACAGAAAGAGGGTCGCTCGCAGGAATAGATATCGAAGGAAGGGAGGTGTGGTCAATCGGCGAAGCGTGGAAGCGGGGCGGGGCAGTGGGGGGAATGGGTGCAGACTGGAGGAGGGATAGACGGCGAGCGGGAAGGAGTGGCAAGAGCGAGGAAACCCATGTAGGGAGAAAAGGAACGCGGGACGGGGAGTAGGGGGGGTAGGTGCGCGAACGGAAAGGAGATGGAGAAAAGGCACGGGGCGGAAGGAATAGACGGACGGGAGGCCATGTCGAGAGCGTACAGAAACATAGGGAGAAAAAGGAACGTGGGACGGAGTAGGCGGGGGTAAGTGTGCGAATGAAAAGGGGGGAGTGAGGGACTGAGAGAAAAGACATGGGGATAGGAAGAGATGAGTGGGGAGGGCGGGTATACACGCGAATGGACGGGCGAGAGAACGAGTACACTGCGGGGGGCGGGGCGGTAGCAGAGAGGGAGGGGTAAGGTGGGGAGAGGCACACGGGTAGTGGGGAAGGTGGAATGGAGCGATGGGCCGGGAGAGTGGTATGCAGGAACGTAGCGGCATAGGATAAATCAAAAAAAAAAGCAGCCGGAGTGGATGGGATACAGCGCGCGCGGGGACGGACACGGGGAGTGAGCAGCGTGTGTAGGTGGGAGGAGCGTGTACCCGAGTGTAATGGGGATAGCGCGAAAAGACAGACGCAGGGGAGCAGCAGGGGCGCAGGAAACGGACTGGGCGGGGGTAGAGACGGGTGACAGAGGGAAGAGGCGAACGTGTGGAGGAGAGAGACGAAGGGGAGGAATATAACGGAAGTTGTCGACGCAACGAAAAAGGATAGGATTGGGTAGTCCAGAGAGAAACTTTGGAAAAAAGGCACTTGAGCCACTCACCCGTCGCCTCGGACGTGCCCACCACCACCGGCCCATTGCCATTAACGCGCCCCTCGCCTTCCCGCTCCCGCTTGTGCTCCCTGTCTCTGCGTACCCTCCTTACAGCCCCGCCCATCCCCACGCCCACACCAAGCCCAAGGTCGAGCCCCGCAGCAAGTACCTCGTCCGCCTCGCCGCGGTAGCGCGCGACGCCGTCGATGCCGACCTCGGTTTTTGGCGGACAGCGGAAGTTGTCCCTTTCGAGCAGGGTGGGCGAGATGTCGAGACTCGCGAGCTCGGGGAGGGACGAGGGTGCGCGCAGCCGGCCGGACTCGACGTCGGAGATCTTGTAGTATGAGATGAGGTGCTGCGCGACGCCGGCAATTGTGACTGAAAATGTCTGCGAGGCAAGTATTGCAATTTAAAAAAATATTCAAGCAGAAGAGAAGAGAAGAAAGACACACTTTCTTCATGAGACCATCCGTCTTGAACTTGAAGCTATTCGTGAGGCTGCCCACCAGCGTCCTCTCCCTCTGCCGATCCACCCCCGCCGGCCCCTCGCTCCTCGGCCGACTGAGGGTCTCCCCCCTGCTGACCACCTCGTCGTCGTCGTCCGGACGTCTTCGCCCTGCATGCCCCGCTCCGCGCTTGTCCGTCTCGCGATAGAGCAGAAAATTGCCGAGGATGCGCGACGGCGACCAAAAAAACCCATCCGTCCAGCGCTTGATGCCACTCTCGTCCTCGTCAAAAACAAACACGCTCCCAGAGGTAATCATCTTGCGCTCGTCGTCGACCAGACGGCGGGTGACGCGCGGGATGAGGCCGCGGCGCGCGGCTTCGAGGATGAGGAGCGCGTCGCCGGTCGTTTCGATCCACCCGGACCATGGAGGTTCGGTCCACCCCGGAGGCGCAGACATCCGGGAGTACTAGTATGTAGATCCCTAGCTGTGCTGCGTTTAGGTCCCGAGCACCGTAAAGATCCCTCGCTTTCAAGTTGACCACCCCGCGATTAGAGTTTGATAAGACTTGCAACTCCGCTCCAGACACCGACCGGCTGTGCTGCCAGTGCTCTTCGTCTTCTCTCTTCCTCTTCTCTCGTCTCGCGCTTGCCTTGCTCGCCGTCGTCCTGTTTCTGCTTGTCGTTGTTCGCTCGCTCGTCGTGGGCGCGTGGTACAAAGTGGATGGATGCTTAGTCAGCCCGCCGTGCTCCGCGCAATCTAGCCTTACTTTTGCTTGGGAATCTATCTAACCTTGTCCAGGTTGGAATGTAACCCTCCTAGTCTGGTGTCACCCGTTTCGCTCTAGCGCTGGATAAAATTGCTATCTACTGCGCGTACACGGACCCCTCCACTGTTAATTGAGGGAATATATATCCAACCTCGTCATTCTATGCACAGACCTAGTGGCGAATGGTATCGCGTCTGAAGGCGTCTGCAGCTCGTCAAGGAGATTGCTATTAAGTAAATTATGCAGAAGTCCGGTTCGAACCCAGGCTAGGTCATGGGCTAGCAGTCGGTTTTCCTTTTCATTTTATAAGGATTGCATGCTCACATCCCCATTCATCATTTCAAACAGAGCTGGTGTTGTCCTGCAATCGATCTACTGAGTCCCCTCTCTGGGCCTTCTTTAATTCTCACATACCCCGCGTCCGGCCGACGAAATTACCACACGACACGAGGTGCAATTCAATGGGAATAAGACCCTGTTGGCGAAAGGTATCGCATCCGCATCATCTATCAGGAAAGAAGCGGTGATTATATTGTGGAAGGCCCTGGTTCGAATCTAAGCTAGGTCATGTGGGCAGCACAGTCGGTTTTTCTTTTCTTTTATTCGAAAAGAGGATTGTATGCTCACCATCCCATCCTTCACCCTCTTCGAACCGTCGACTTCGCCGCATGCCACAAGCGGTGAGCCTTTTCTGCACACCCCGTCCTCGAAATTAATTCACCATATCATCCGGGGTGCGATCCGGTGGGAATGAGACCTGGTGGCGAAAGGTATCGCATCCGCGTCATCTTACACAGGTTGTCGGGTTATGTGCGGAAGTCCCTGGTTCGAATCCAGGCTAGATCATGTCCGGACAGGCGGTTTTCCTTTTCCTTTTATTCGAAAATGGATTGCATGCCCATTCTTCATTTTGGTCGAACAGAGCTGATGTTGTCCTGCAGTAGCGATCTGCTGAGCCACGTCGCTGATCCTCCTTTCATTCTCGCATATCCCGGCCATTTATGACGAAAGAAAGTAGCGCACCAGACGAGGTGGGATTCAGTTGGAATGAGACCTGGTGGCGAAAGGTATCGCGTCCGCAACATCTGACAGAGGACGCGAATATTATATGGAAGTCCCTGGCTCGAGTCCAGGCTGGGTCATATGGGACAACCTGCAGTTGTTTTTTTCTTTTATTCGAAAAGGATTGCATGCTCACGGATTTCGGCGATATTGTCCTGCTGAGTCTCCTCGCTGAGTCTCGTTTCACTCTCGCATATTCCGCGTCCGGCAGACGAACTCACTACACGGCACGAGGTGGGGAATGAGACCTGGTGGCGAAAGATATCGCATCCGCAGACCGTATTTTGAATCCAACCTGATCAGCGGAGGGTCCTGCCAGGCTTGCTTCTTCGTCTCTTTTCTTTTTGAAAGAATTCTTGCTCACCTCTTGCCTTCATTCCTGATGTCCATTAAAACAGACCGTTGATTTCGCCGGAATATTTTTGTGTTCCGGCATCAATGTGTACTCGGACTCGCTTTTTTTTTGTTTTTTGTTTTTTGTTTTTGTTTCTTGATTCTTGCCTCCGTAGGTCCTCGTGAAAGTACTACACAACACGAGGTCTTCTTCAGTGAGAATAAGACCTGGTGGCGAAAAGTATCGTGTCCGCAACATCTCATGAAGTCAGAGATTGTCTGTGGAAGTCTTTGGTTCAAATCCAGTCTAAGGCTAGGTCATGGGTTGATCTCTCTGTTCTTTTTATTCGAAAAAAGGATATCCCATTCGTTTCGGTCGAAGTAACAGAGCCGATGTTGTCCAGCATCATCGATTTGCTGAGTCCCCTCGCTGAGCCTTCTTTCATTCTCGCATACCCCGGGTCTTGAGAATGAAAACACCGCACGACACGAGCAGCAATTCAGTTGGAATAATACCTGGTGGCAAAAGGTATCACGTCCGCATCAACTTGCCGTGCCTATGAGATTATGTGGAAGTCCCTGATTCGAAACCAGGCTAGGTCATTACAAATGGGTTTAATTTAAATTTTAAATTTTGAAAACATCTCGTGCTCGCCACACCATTCTTAGGTTTTTCAATCTCTTCTCCTATCAGTGGGCTGATTCTTTCACAGTTGATTCTCACCCGCTGTTCGCTCTCAGTAATATGCCTGACTCTCCCGAGTTATTTGTGGAGTCCGTTGGATTCAACTCTTACGGTCACCGTGCGTGCACTCCGTCGACCCCAAAGCAACACATCTACAACTGGATGTCGGCGCGACCGGTGGTGAAAGATGATGCCATTGAGCGTTACGCTGTCGACCAGCAACACCCAAAGCTTATCGTTGAAGACCTTCTGGGTATCGCAGGGTGACGTCGATCGGCCGGTGCGAATCCGTTCGCCTCGCGCTATATGAAGTTATCATCGGCCAAATGATACAGACTTGGACGGTTGGCTACCTTCTTCCCCGATTGGAGGCTCTCCCTGATCGCAGCCACATTTATGACGAACTTTTGTGCATTGGTGTGGACATGGTCACGGCTGCTTTCTGTGTAGATCTCGCTCTCGCGGTAGCTGACTTCATCCACATCAAGAATGTCATTTGTCGGCGCATCACGACACATCTCGACGACGAGCGCGATAGGAAAGAAAATACCCTTGAACTTGCCGATGAAATTGTTCGCTCCCGATCCCCAGACGTTCATTACGGGATACTCTTCTCATTTTTCCACTGTGTCATCGTTAAAGTTTATCCCGACGGCAATTTCGACTCGACCCTTGCTTTACAGTTTGTACCGTCCTTCTACACCGCTTCTCCCTCGACGCCTGGCATCACCGCCATCGCTCGCCTTGCGTACCATTCTACTACAACGATAGCTGACACCGACGATCCTCCAAATCTCCTTCCGGTGGAGCACATCCTGAATCAAGTGCCCAAGGATGTGTAGCACAATATCGGGGAAAATCTCGCTCCCACAGATTTGAGCACTCTCAGGTCCATTGTGCCAGGGTTCAAAGGAGCGGCGGATGCCATCCTTCTCTACCCGCACATTAGGGACTATCGCCTTATTGAAGCTATTGGGTGGGATGGAGAAGAAGAGGGACGCAGTGAACCCCATTCGTCCAAAGATGGTATACCCAACCCAGTGCCGGCGTCGCGCAGATTTTCCGCTATGCGAGAAGGTTCGGCTGTGCCGGTTTTGACGGTAGGTGTGAGAAAATACAAACCTCATTCTTCCGACTCTTCCTCCATCTCGGTTGGATCTGAAGAAACGAAAATGATTTGGTATTCGTGGAGCACTTGAACCCTGAAGTCCGGCAATGCTGTCCGAAGTGCTTTATTTACTGATGTAACCTGCCAGACTCGATAATGAAACTAGTTAGCCGTCTTTCGTCCTTTGAATATCGAGTTCAAATTTGGGAACATTGCTACAGCGGTGCAGACGAGATATTTAGTGACGCAGATATGTTCGTCGCTGGTCTCGCCAATGGAGTTAGGGAGAGATCTTGCCGAAACCACACTCGAAAATCACCGCTTCAAAAATTCATGACATGTTCAACTTTTCAACTGAACTTGCTCGTGTGGAGTCCTGTCTATCATATTCGGAGCGATTTCGAATGAATCCAGATCCTGTGGTCCTTTTCACTCCCTTGAAAGGAGGCCCGCGTCTCTGCAGATACGCCTGATGCGCGTGGTGGTGTTTCACTGTTTGGTTGATGAAGACGCGTTCAAGTCGGCACGTGTGACGTGATTCGTCTCTTTCAACTTTACGGGCTATTAATATATTAATCCTGAGCTATCGGTTTATCAGGCCTGGCGACTAGTTGGAGGACAGGATAAATTTCGTATTTCATTCACTAAAAAATATAATTTACAGCGTCAAGAGCCCCAATTCGATTGCCTTGATTTCGAGCGCCTACAGAGGAAGAATAACTTTAGTCAATGTGAATGGGGAACATCATCAAAAATTATACCAGCTGCTTCGAGTAAAATCTTGAGATATTGAAATAGCCTCCAGCATACCACAGCTGACGGATGAAACCGATGATCATGAAAGCGAGCGTGCAAGTGAGAGTGCGATAAGACTTGGGATTGAGAGCTCGAGCGAAATAAAATGTACGCACACTAGGATGTCCCGATGGGCGGTAACTCCCATTGAGCTCGCCCTCTTCATCGACTCCTCAAACAGGACACGTCTGATCTATGACGGCGTCGCCGAACAGTCTGCGCACTGTGTCGCGGATGTTGTGGTACGATGTTCTAAATTTATTTGCGTCAATGGCGGCGGGTGGTAACAAGGATGTTGAACCTGGAATGGAACCTACGCGTATATCATGGCGTCGATCTCGAGAGACGAGCCATCCGAAAACACGGCGGAATGTTCTGTAGAGCGCGCGATCTCTACACCCTGCTTGACTTTCACTTTTCCCCGTCGAATAAGCTTCGCAGTGCCCACATCAACCCCTGCCGCAAAAGATGAGCTCGTAATGCCTGTGCGCGAGAGCTGCGCTACTCACAATATCCTAAATTTAAATATCACCCATGTTGAACGTCGCTGTAAGGGAGAAGAAAACTGTGAACCCACCCCCAAACCGTTCGAACAACATTGGATACTGCCCCGAACCATCTTTTCTCATCATCAAGCTCAGCCCAGCTTCCCTGAGTCCGGTATGCGTCTCCTTCTCCTCCGCCCACATCATATCTGTCATCACCTTCCCAATCTCACGCACCAGCAGAAAAGGCATCGCCTCAACCTTGAAATCCGCCACCTCTGTCGGAACCTCTGAGGGCCACATGTGCGCCAGCATCCGGGCGCCACTTTTCAGTGAGACGACGCACGTCGAAGAGCGCTGTAGTATCGTCGTCGCCGCACCCTGGAAGGCTAGGTCCTGGTAGATGTCCGCGGCGTTGTTCCCTGCACCCACCACGAGCGTGCGCTTCCCGCGAAGGCTTTCCCGCCGGTGTACGCAGCAGCATGAATCATCGGTCCAGTGAACAGGTCGCTGTCGGTGATGGACGGGATGAAAGGGGCACCGAGGGTCCCGGTGGCGAGGACGATGTGCGCAGGGTGAAGGGTTATCTGCGTGCCAGAGCGGTCAACCACGACTGTCCATTTCTGGGATGTGGTATCGTATGTTGGAGTGCGGAGGGCGCGTGAATTCGTTCACACGACCAGGTCCTGAAAGATGGCGTAGTGTTCGAGCCAATCGTCAAGTTCATCGCGCGGGGTGTAGACAGGCCAGTTTTCTGGATATGGTTGGTATAGCACTGGAAAAGAATAAAGGTCAATGTTAAATTT